CATAAAGAGTTCAACTTATTACATTAAATTTACTTTTCTTATTAAAATAAAGAGGATAAATTTAGGATTTTTTTTTATAATTTCAAAAATTTTTAAGCAATTTCAAATTACAAAAGATATAAAATTTAAGCACTAATAATAAACTTAATTAAGACTTAAAATTTGATATATTTAGATTAAAGACTATAAAGAATCTTTAGAAATATATTTAATAATCAACTATTCAAAAAATTAATTATTTAACAGATTTAACGAATAATTTTTTATTGCACAAAGCGCGGCTAAGTTCACTAGTTCAATTATAATTTAGGTCCTATTTTAGCGTTGATTATATTTGAGGAGTATACTATTGTTTTTGAAGAAAAAATCAAGCCAAAAAAAGTGTCAATTTTCTAAAGTCTTCTCTTTTTGTCGCAATCACTTCTCTCTTATCAAAATCAAAATAAATAAAAAGCAGAGGCTAACATGAATGCCGTTTTGTCAATCACCACAAGAGCCACCATCAATGCTCCATATCTCATCCTTCCCCATTTCCCAAAAAGGTCAAAAACGTAACAATAAAATAATAATTTCATCCTCCCAAAATCTCTTCAAACAGGGTTTTTGGGTTTGGATTTTTTTTTTCTCCTTTTCAAAATAATTGCATCTCTATATACTCATACTTGTTCGATTCAAGGTATGAACTTAGATTTATTAATGAAAATGGTTAAATTCACTTTATTGTTTTCTATTCCGCAGGTTGTTCCGTTAGTGGAGATCATAAATTAATTACTTTATAATATTATGTGGGGATGCAATTGGCTGTAGAACTTTGACAAGATTTTTCTTCACTTTTTGCCTTTGCTTAAAAAGTTACCAACCATGCAATTTGTCATTGGGTCCACTTAATTTGTACATAACCATTGTTTTCTTTGCTCCTAAACAAACGGGTCCATGCCTAAATCATTGATTTTGTAATGATTTATGGTTGATGTTCAAATAATGAAGTAATTACTATGTATTTCAATCAAGTTTTGTCATAGTAGTTGTTAGAGGTAGGTGGAATCAAACTCACGTTTAATAACATCTGGGAGAATTATTGCACATGTATTATGTATTACAAGACATCTTTTTTGACAATAGCTAAGTTGAAAATGTCCTTTAGGAAGAAGTCAAGGTTGAACTTCCAAGTTAATAGTGCATTATCTTGCTTCTTGGATTGTAGTTCTTGCTTTTGATATTTATCGTGTTTGATATTGTGTTCCGATTATCGCACTATAGGATTTGCACTGCTTCCCTTGTTAGTTACTATGTTCTTTCCTCACTGTTTTCTTACTCTTGAGAGTCTTTCGGAAATAGCCTCTCTACCTCGAGGTAGTGGTAAGGTATGTGTACACTTTCACTGGGTATGTTGTTGTTGTTGGAGGAGGAGTAAACTGTTCTTTATTAAATTGTTACTGCACAAGTTTCCTGTTTTTCAATGGGAGTTGATCTATGAAGTTGTTGCTCTCCTCTTGTTTATTTATTGATTTGTTGAGAACAATATGCAGAAAGTGATTTGAATCAAGTTTATGTTGGTCCCTTTTTATTTATGATGAATTTATTAAGCAAAACGAAATATCTAGACGACTTTTCATGATAGAAGATCTGAATAGAAATGTGAATGGAGTTTTTCCAAAATTAGAAGAAGCTTTCAGCAGTTTTACTCAAGTTTCCAATTGTCTTGATGATTAAGTGTTTTTCTCCTGATATTTTGAGTGGTTGTATTGTCATGGCTACGGATATATTACTTTATTTCATAGTTTGACATCACACGAATATTTTAAGTAGGTAGCATCACTTGTTTCATGCTATTTGTAAGCTTCCACACATGGAGTAGTTGGCTATGAATCATTTGTTAATGCAATAATATGCATCATTAGTTTACCTTGTCAGTTGACTAAACATAAAAGTTTTTAGCTTCTTCAATAGGAATGAAGTTCTGGTGAAGGATCATGGATTGTGAGAATAAGGATTCTGAGCTTAGAAAATTCGGATCATCTCGCACAAGCAGTGCCAGTTCTTCTCTCAGGAGGCGTTCGTTGAGTTTATCACTTTCTCTTCCTAAACATCTGAATGACGATGATGATGAAAATGAATCTGTATCAGAAGCAGGAGATATCGGGGATCGTGAGCTTCAAAGCAATAGGTACAGTGGGAGTGGCAGGCTAAGATTAATCGGTGAAAATGCACCAGAACATAGAGTGGTTGTTCCCATTTCAGAGGACACGATGTTGGGGTCCAATGCTATGAGTAGTGTTACTCCAGTATCCCCGATAAAATTGATCTCTCAACCCGATCATAAAGAGAATGTGAGTATGGTTAAATTGCCTGTAAGCTTATTCTATGTATTCCAATCTTTCTTCTCCAGTAACATTTGTTCTGACAAGCCGTGATCTTCATGCAGGATGAAAAAACAGAGGTGCCATGGGTTTTGGAGTATACTTCATGCCTCTTGTTTCTAGCTGTATTTGGTATATTGGGGGTAATGTACAATGTGTTTTATTTCGAGTCCAGTAAATATTTAATGGTCATCGATGCCTTTACTTTGCATAGTACATTTTTGCCTTCCCAAATAGAAGGGGAAGTATGGTATTTTGTCAATGTCCAGAGCTATATATGCTGTCGTATAGGACCATCAATTTTTTTTGGTGATTGGCTTGTTAGAAAGTCCATTTGTACCTTTTCTTGTGTTCGCTTGCTGTATGATTATATCTTTGTGTTTTTTTCTAGAATACCAGAATTCAACTTTGTACTTATTTGGCGAAAATAGCACCAGAAGATAGTGCAACTTTACAGGGATCTGATTACGTAATAGTCTGCAGGTTTTGCTGAGGTATGGTCTCCAAAAATTATTCGGACCAGGAATAGTTGGTGCCACAAGTGATCATAGTTATATGTATCTGGACCTGCCTTCTAACATGGTATAGCATTCTTTTTTTCTCTTCTGTACTTGTTTATCTGCTTCATGCAACAAGCAAAATATATGAATATGCCAATGGGCGGGATTTAGTTAAAAACATGGAAATTTATCCAGGTTACAAGAGATCAAATATATACTGCCTGTTTGTGTATAGTAGCAATATCAATTTAATTTTCCTGTTTATCATATTGTTCTGACTTCTCTTAAGCAAAGAAATATTGTTATTTGAAGGAGTCAAGAAAAAAATTCATTCGATGAGTGCAAGTTGAAGGAATTCTCACAATATGTTGAATATTTGATGTAGTTGCTCTTACTTTAGAAGATATTATTAAACATATTCTGCTCTAGAATAGAATGAACTGTAACATATCATACGAACCTGATGTTTATTTACACCTTGCCGAATATATTGGAATATTGGTAAGGTTTATAGGGTTATCATGCTTGTTGAATGGACAACATGGTTATTCCGCTCTAGAATATATTCATATGTAATTGCAATCATTTGTTTGTTTATACTTCTCTACATTCTTGATCAGCAAGGTCTTAACTTGATATATCCTCAACCAAGAACATGCGCCTTTGGCATTTTCATATGTCTCTTTGTAACTCATTTCTGCCAATTGTATTTTGTTATTTGACCTCATACAATTTATTTTTACCTGCTAAAGGTCGGTTCGTTCTTGATGGGTTGGTTTGGTATGGTCTTTAAAGAGGACATTTCCAGAATTTCAAGTCAATTAGCAATTGGATTGTCAACTGGTTTTCTAGGAAGCCTTACTACTTTCAGTGGTTGGAACCAAAAGATGCTCGAGCTTAGTGTTGAAGGGCAGTGGGTTTTTGTAGTTCTTGGCTATCTTCTAGGTATATGCTATTTTTTGTGCTGGTGTTGATATAACGTCATAAATTATTTTTTTTCCTTTTTATATCTTGCTTGTTTTTTCAGAGGAGCCATCATGTCCTTTTTTTTTTAACTTGCTATTGTTATGCTACAATTCTCGTAGGTTTATTTCTTGTTGCCTACTCAATCATATTTGGAATTGAGACTGCGAAAGGTGTCAATTGGCTCTACAGAAGAGCCAATATGAATTCATCCAACTCAGGCACAGACTACCATTGGAGAGTAGATAGCTGTAAGCGCCATTTAATTGTTATACTCTTTCTCCTACTCATTCTAGCATCGCTATGGGGTATGAGCATAGGACTGGAGGTACATGAATTCAGCAGCAGCAGCCCAAAAGCACAGTTGTGGCTGGCCTGCATAGTTGGTCCATTTGGTGTGTGGATCAGATGGTTCTTAGCACGACTAAATGGACGTGGCTTAGGAAAATCAGGCCAGCTCAAATGGGTGCCCTTCGGTACTTTGATTGCCAATGTATCTGCAGCTTGTGTCATGGCAGCACTTGCGACCTTGAAGAAAGCAGTAAGTTTACTTATATTTCTTTTAACATAAAGGCTTCATGTCATAATCTTACTGTATATTAAGGTTAATTGTATGTGTATTTTCTATTGTTTAGGTCAACACAGAGACATGTGATACTGTTGCTTCTGGTATCCAGTTTGGTCTATTGGGTTGTTTAAGTACAGTTTCCACTTTCATTGCTGAATTCCATGCAATGAGAGGAAGCAAGTATCCATGGAGAGCATATGTGTACGCTTTGTGTACAACGCTTATATCATTCGTCCTGGGGACACTTATATACTTTGTGCCTGTCTGGGTTGAAAATTTCAACTAGAGTATCAAATATACACGATCAATCGTTGATATATATATATATATATGTATATAGTTGTTGTTGCCAAGCTCCAAAGAAACAACAAGAGATGCAAGAGAATATTGCAAATTGGAAATGAAAATTTTGAGGTAATGAATTAATTTATTAAGTGCACATATTAAGGAGGTAACTTGTCAAGTTGTATTAACAAATTGTTGTAACTTCATTGTAGCTCAATTGACCTTGACATTTATAGTGATTCTTTTAAAATGGGCTATTTTTGTACTTTCTAATTCATATTTTCTTTTTGATAAATATCATTTTTATCAGTTGGGAAAATTATGTGGTTAAGTAAATTTATACTATTTAATTACTCATCATAAGTTTGCTATAATTATCACTCACGACTAACATTATTCATTAATTACGTGGGCTGATTTCGAGTTTCTATAATTAGTCATTGTATATGTATAATTAGCTAGGATATACAAATATATATGTATAATATACAATTATTTAATCTATATACATATACAATTCACCTCTTCCACTCTCTGCCCTCTCTCACTCGCCTCTCTTCTCCCTTACTCAATCTCGGTCGCCTCTCTCTTTCCTCTCCCAAACTCGCTTGCCATATATACAAATGCATATGTATAATTACAATTATATACATATAGAATTTACCTCTTTCTCACTCTCTGCTCTCTCTCCTCTCTCCTCCCTCCTCCCTCTCTCGCCTCTCTATTCCCTCTCCTAATCTCTCTTGTCATATATGCAAATACATATGTATAATATACAATTATCTAACCAATATACCTATACAATTCACCTTTCTCTCATTCTTTTTCTCTTCTTCTTCATATAACATGTAGCTACGGATTGTAATTATCAAACTATAGCTATGGAGAGTAATTAAGCTATTTTTAAATAGCTATACGTAAAAGTTCCCCGTTGTGTGTGATTTGATCATGATATGATATGACTAGGTATATATAACTTTTCATTAACTTACAATTTTGATCTCTCAAATTAGTGGAACTTGAAAATTTAATGAAATAGTAATTTTTTTTTACTATTGAGATTTAGAAAATAAATTATTAAAAATGCAACACCATCAATATTGACCACCCGATTAACTTAGAGGTGTTATTAGCAAAAGAATCTGATAACATGACCATTCAAAATCAAATCTAAAAAATTCTAATAATCATCAATGGACATTATATTGAGATGAATTTGTTTTTTCTTTTCTCTAGGTCATCTCCCTCTCAAATAAATTATAATCCTCTATCTCATTCTCCATCTCAATTATTCCAATAGGCATATATTAATTCTCAACTTAATTAATATATAGTAATTATATGAAAATTCTAAGTGTTTCAGTTCACTTCTTCGGTTGTCATTCAACTTTCTTTTTTTTAGTCGAAACTTTAGCTCTTATAATAAGTAACATTTTGTGGAAGTTATTCATTTAATATAATAAAAAGTAATGACAAAAAGTTCAATACCATCTTCCTAGGCGAGCATGTGTAATTTTTTCGATAGACTAAATATTAGGAAAAATATAATTCTCGTTATGTTTTGCATAGAATATAATGTAATTAATTAGTAGTGATATTTATTTATATGGATGAGCTATTCTAAGTTTTAACAAAACATTAATCACTTATGTCAATGTACGACGTAGATTCTTGTTGTCATTTTTTTTGGTTAATATGTATATTTGAGTAGCATAACTTAAAATTTTAGAATATTACACAAAATAATCTAATTGAAAATTTCTTAAATAAAAATATCAATTAATGAGAATTTGTTTCCGTTTCACGACAATTTTACACTCCTTTTTATATTTTTTCAGGTGCATATTTGAATTAGTGAATACTTGTCTTATTCAATTTTTAAGTTTTAATTGAATTAACTAATAATAGAAAAGACCTCGCTTAATATGGTAAGAAATATTTCAACACCCACAAATTTTGGAATCAATTAAAACCATTATTTTTGTTTATGTTTTTTATAATTATAACACTCCGGAGTTGGAAAGTTGAGACAAAAGAAAAATGCAGAAAACTCTCTGAAATAGTGGTCTACGAGACAGACATACAAACCATAGGAAGTCCTACGGGTCATAGGTAGTCCTACGGACCATAGGAATGAAATTGAAGGAACCAGAGTTATCTTTGGAAAACTTGACTTTGTAGGATGAATAGAAAGTTTGACGAATCGTAGGACTGATCCGTAGGGTTGATCCAGAGATTCGATTTAAGACCTCAAGTCTATGGGGGGATTTTGACGGATTGAAGTTACTTTTACGAGTCGTAGGATGGTCTCGTAAAAAAAGAATCAGACTTAGTAAAATTTTAGACTTGAACATATACAGTTAGGGTCTACTAACCCTAGGATTTTAGACTAGACCGTACAAAGTTATGGAGAAAGTCGAAACCTTTGAAAGATGTTTTCGTATACATGATTTATGAAAAATGAATGAATTATGATCTAGCTTGCTTTAAGATTAGCATCAATGTAATTGTGAAATATTTTCTCGCATATGCATGAATTGTGAAAAGCTTATTCACATAAGAAATCATGAATAGTGAAAGATTTTCTCACACATAATTTAAGGAGCTACCCGATGATGTTTTTATTTGGATTAGTAACTTAATTATTCTTTCACATGGATGCTGATAAGCTTATGTTTATGATTATTCAGTTGGGATTTCACTTAGCATCAAGAGAATACGAAATAATAATGCGATAAGGATGGAGTCTAACTTACAATTTACAATAGCTAAGACAATAACTTTTGAAAGACAATAACATATATGAGAAAATGTTACATGCTCGCGAAGGTGATAATAACGACAAAACCAAATGAGATCTCGGTGGAGTTTTGGAAGAGCACTAACAGAGCAGGTTTTGAATGTAGACTACTGAAGGAACCTAACCCCAGAACACGAACCAGGTTCGTGTAAGTTGCTTTTAAGTAAAGACAGAGTAAAGACACAAACACTTATTGAATTAAAAACCTTCCTCACTCAAGGAAGGAAAAACCTCGTTTTATTAATTCAACTATAAGATTTTGTGATTACAACTCAATAATCAAAAGTCTTATCTCTACTACTCCCTCGATTGATTCCAATCGACCTCTCCAAAAGGTCAAACCCACCTTTTGTTACAACTCTTACTAACACTCAACCCTACAAAGAGCCAAACCCACCTTTTGTACAATAAACTGTAAACTACAATTAAGAACAAAAACAAGACAAATAGTTCTACACGATAAAACCTTCTTACTCAAGAATGTTTTAAACGTAGTAATCCTATCAACATTGAAGACTTCAATTTGATGAATAATTCTCCCTTGTTCTCTGCGTGAAGTCATGCCTTTCTTCCTCTGCCTCGTGCTATTCTTATAGAGTTTATTTTGCCTTGTACAATCCTTATCTGATAAGGTAAGGAAGTTATTGTTAAACAAGGATTCTTTTTTTAAAGTACAATCCTTATTATATACAACTTCCTTCCTTAATAATATATTTAAGGTTTTCCTTATTTGTATCAACTTGTACCTTTAATATATTATTTTTGGCTTTGTACAAATAACTCCGTTTTACTCGATCTTAGACTCTAGCCTGGCTTCTTTTGCTGCGTATATTTGCTACTGTTCTTTGCGCGTCTTGTCTATCATCAAAACATGAATTATCGATTCTATCATATTCTATCATATTCCCCCTTTTTGATGAAGACAAACAAATCTTTCTGTGGGATGCATGCAAATACTCTTCAAATACTCTTCCCCTTTTGAAAAATCAAAAAGAGTCCAACAGCGGCTGATCAAAACCAAATATCATCCATAGCAACAATTGAAGCTCAACCAGTTGAGCATAACACATAGTTTAAACAACTAAGAGAACCAGGTTCACACAAGATGCTTTTTCAATTTGAAAGTTGTCCAGGCTTGGTTGAACAGAAGCCAGCATATCCAGAACTCTGTCAACTCTTGCATTGTTAGCAAGTTGCTGCTACACTAACTGATCCTTCAACCTGTAAATTTCAGCATTTGAAGTGTGGAGTTCAGCACGTAACTTCTGATTTTCTGACTCAAGAGTTGCATATTTTTCTTCAGCTACTTTGAGTTTCCTGAGTAACTGAGCAACAGGACCAGATGTACGTGAAGAAGCATTTGCAACCTGCTCCGACTCCATAGGAATTCCACACTCAGCAAGAATGGTTTGACTGAACATATTTGCATGAGTTAAAATCCTGCCTTCTCCCAATGGTACTTCAAATGCATCAAACACTTCCAAAAACTTCAATTCTTTGTCATCCATCAAAACTACAAACTTCATGTTTTCTCATTCCCCAAGAATTTCCCCCTTTTTGATGATGACAAACTATGCATATGTCTATCCACATTATATACTTTCCCCCTTTTGGCATCATTGAAAATCAATAATCAAAGAACTCGAATAACATTCAATGAGTGCAATATCATTTTTAACTCATAGCCACTTGGGAAACACTTTCAAATACACTTCTGCTAACAAAATGGTTAGTTGATCTAAGGATATTAGTCATCTTACACTCATACACAATTAAGATCTTCAATGAGAAACGAAATAAACAAATATGTACCAATTTATGCCCTTAATCAAAAACATATAATATCATGAGTATGAGACAGACATAAGCACATCAAAGAGTCAAAAGAGTATAAAATTTGAGGATAAAGATTGAGACAAAGATTACTAAAGTGAGGAAGAAAGGGATGTTTACTGCCATTGATAATTTTTTCAGTATGCCCATTGTGCACCAGCTTCTTTATTCTGATCAGTTTTCTTAGAATGTGAAATTTCATCAAGAGAAGCATGAGATACATCATCACATTTTTTTTAACTCTACTCCAT